ACTGCACTGTAGAAGAGGAACTTGAGGTTAAAGACTTCTATCTGTACATTGCCCATGTTACTGGTAACCTCTGCATGCCATAGACCTGAGGAATATTTAATCTTGAAAGGGGATGTTAATATTAAATTTCCTAAGGCTAAATTTGTAACATATAGTAAAAGGGGCCTATCAAATGGAATCATAATCTCTATTTAGTCATATATTATTAGCACTTTATATCCAAGTGACTGTATTAGTAACTATAAAAATATTATTCATATCTCAGGAAATATTAAAAAGGATTATACAAAAAATATTCAGGCAACAATATAAAATGTTGCCAAATACAACAGAACAAAATAGGACGGAAAAACAATCTTATTGCAGAGAGGTATTATGAACAGCAAGTAAAACATACTGTATTAAAAACAACTGTTTGCAGGATTCAACTGATGATTAGCCACCTACTGTAAAAATGTTACCAATAATTCTTCTTAACTGAGAATAATATTAACTTCAAAAAAAGCACGGGCCATTTCTTGCACAGTGAGGGAAGGAAAGGACAAAAACAATCCATACTGGGGCCGGAAACGTTAATTATCTGACTAGCACCATCTGATCAGCAGCAGAAAGGATTTTTTATTTCTGCTAGGGTGGGGGGAGGTTACTCACTAGCATGGAAATCTGAAAATAAGGTCCATAATTCATCTAAGTATTAAAGCATTTCCACTTCAGTTCTCCAGCATTTGAACATTTTCCAAATGTTGTTAGTCATGGACCATTTTTCCCACCAAGGGATGCAAGTCAAGAAACATTACAATGGAAAATCAAAAGGAAAAAAAGCATACTGCTCAAATCAATCTTTGGCAACCAATGAAAAAAATGCATACTTGTAAATTTCAATCAAAACTTTTTAGTGAATTACTATACTACACTTATAAGAATGTCAAATAGCAGAAATCAGACAGGACTCAAAAGAACTTGGCAAACTGGAAACATCCTGCTATGGTCCTTCTCTGGTTACCAGTTTCCATAAAGGCCTCATCATTTTAAATGATAAAAGTACAGTAAGGCTGACATTGTATTAACATTACAGCTATGACTTTGATGTTTATTTTATCCAGTGATTAAAAATGACACGACGTTTCCATTGTTTCCCTAAACTTCTAACCCGTTCTTAGCAGAAATGTCTGGGAAACCGCTACATTTTTCCCATTTAATGGCAGACACTAGTCAAAAAAGCTATTTATAAACATTAATCAGCATCCATACAAGCCATACTTCCTGTTTGGAGGTCTCAGGAGTACTTGTGTACCAATTACCGATAATCAGGAAGAAGTGCATTGCATATTCCCCTAACAATAAGTGGTATGTGCTGCACTGATGAGGGTTTGCTAACATTACTCAACATTCTGTCTCTCAACAGATTATCATCATATGACATTACTGATTTGGGATAATGTTTAAAACACTTCCTGGGCTTCCAAGAGATTCTGCTATAAAAATGCTAGATACTAATCTTAAAAATGCTAGATACTAAAAAAAACCAGGCAACCAAATACACATTATGCATCTCTCTACCATTTTGGGGCAGATATGAAACTGATGTAGAATATCTGCAATAAAAAACCACCTTTTGCCTTTGTGATGAGCTCTTTATGTTCAGCAGAAGTATAGAAGAGCTCCTGAAACTCGCTGAGCCAAAAATCTACAGGCAAGGGGGGAATTTTCAAAATGCTTAAGTGTTTTATAGAAGCACAAGTCCTACTGAAAAGCAATGGGTCTTACGCTTGTATATTCCTTAGGCACTTCAGAAAACCTTACCATTATGATGACAGCGGCATTTACAAAATATATGAACAGCTTTTTCTTCTGTGTACTAACATGCTTATTGTACTCCACACCACAGTTCTCCTGAAAGTATGGACTGTATGGGTACAAAATAATACTTTCACAGGTGCTCCTCTGACTAAGTTCAAGTCCCTATTTCAAAAGGGTTTTAAAGAGTAGGTCAACTGCAGACTGAAGCTTAGCATGGTGATATGTGATGTAGGCACGTCACTGGAAGCAGTCCTGCTGAAGCAGCATGAGTCTCCACATAGGTTGATTTATTTTGCTTCTCAGCAGACACCTTATAGTGCCCTAGTTAGGTTGGTATCACTAAATTACCTTGACAGCTACAATGTCATTGTACCCATTGACACAGAGCAGAATGATCATCCTTTCAGTTCACCCTAGCTTTGATACCTACAAAATCCTCCCTGTTGATCATGGCTACAGAAGTGACAAACTGGGGCTCTTCCTCCTCCCTTCCTCTTTTCCTCTTTTTTTCCTACTAATATCTTCTTTGCATCTACCTCCATGCCATTATTCATCAGATACAACTGCTTGTATCTACTTCCCATTCCTTTTCAGATTTTAAACACTTGTGGGCAGGGATTCTATCTGTTCTGTATTTGTAGGTTGGTCAGTACAATGAGGCCACTGTCCTGACTGGAGATTTAAAAAAAAGGCATAACCAGTATAAATATTTATACTACTATTCTCAATATAGCATAATAATAATAATATTTTGGACAACAAGCAATGTCAACAGATGTGGCTTTTCTGTATTATTTAATTTAATGTAATCACAGGAATAATAATAAACCAAATATGCTGTTTAAGCTCAGAAAATAAGTTTAACAAACAGGCCTCTTGTCTGCTCTGCAATCAATTCTACATGAACCTAAAACATATTAGTAAAGCACACTATAGAAACAACGGCATGACATAATTTTTTCTCTCTCTTCCTGCCAAAAAAAATCAGTTTGTTATTCTATAGAAGTCAAATTACCATTTTTTCCAGATGATGAAGACCGAAAACCAATACTGCCA